TAATCTTGTTAATTCTCCAAAGTTATCCTGGTTAGATGGAGAGATTGTAGAGTGGAGCGCTCTATGTGGTGTTGTTTCAGTCTCCCGGAGCTGCTCACTCTTCCAGCCTGTGGGTGGAGCTCTCCAGGAACGCGCCCAGTGTTTTTCCTCTTATTTTTAAATTCATTGTTTCCCTCTCTTGTCTGTACTCTCTGGAGAGTGGATGAGCTCGGGGGGGGGGGGGGAGGTCACCTCACACGATCTCCGGGAGTTTAGATATCGTATATCGCTGTCTTTCCTCTTGTAATAACGGGTGTTTGTACCTTGTTAAAATTCCGAGTGGATCTGTCAATTGTGTTGGCTATTAATCTATTATGCATTCTGGAAACTCCCCGGATGATGTTTAGTTTAGTTCCATTATTATGCACCCCATACCCATCTTGTGGGCGGTTGTGGAAAGGGTTACAGAGGCACATAATGGGCTCAGGGACTGAACCCCACAATTCATTTAGCTAAGCAAGTTACAATCTGGATGAGCTAGTTACAAAATTCAATATAAGTCGTCACATCAACAATGGGTTCGAGAGGATGATGCCACAATAAACGCGGTTGTTAATACATGACGAAATCGACGACGTTTCGACCGTAAAATTCGTCTAGTTTTTGGTTTATCTATTTTCTCTTGTGTGTTGATATGTGTATAGTCTTATCACTGAAAATGTGTTCACCTCTGGAATATGTAAACACCGTCAGGTATCACCTCAGGAGCGACACATAAACTGTGTAGAGGAGGAGGAGGAGGTCGAGCGCCGCTGGTGTTTGACCCGCTCACAGGCTAAGGTCAAAGGTCACGTGTCCAGCCGCCGGCGAGTAGAATATTCTCTGAAAATTTCCAAGTTAAACTTCCTGAATAACTCGTGCAAGCTGGTTCCGGCCGGGAGACACAGCCGTTGTGTCCCCCTCGTCCTGTGGATGCGAGTGAGGCTGTGTGACAGACACAATAACTATAGGGAGCCGGTCGGCCGAGCGGACAACACGCTGTACACGTGATCCTGTGGTCCCTGGTTCGATCCCGGGCGCCGGCGAGAACAATGGGCAGAGTTTCTTTCACCCTATGCCCCTGTTACCTAGCAGTAAAATAGGTACCTGGGAGTTAGTCAGCTGTCACGGGCTGCTTCATGAGGGTGGAGGCCTGGTCGAGGGCCGGGTCGCAGGGACACTAAAAGCCCCGAAATCATCTCAAGATAACCTCAATAAGATAACTCCCACTCCTGCACTTTACCACATTTGTGCAGATCTGGAATAACAAAGCAATATTTTTAATCAAACAGCCTCAAGGTTCTTGTTGTACGATAATACTGTTTACTGAAGACAATCTATGTTGCTCCAATCTCAAAAATGATAACTACTCAGTTATTGATGTTTTGGTGGTTACCCTGGCGGACCACGTTCGAATCCTTCAGGGGTCATAAGAGTTTACAATTATGTGTATATATATATATATATATATATATATATATATATATATATATATATATATATATATATATATATATATATATATATATATATATATATATATATATATATATATATATATATATATATATATATATATATATATATATATATATATATATATATATATATATGTCGTACCTAATAGCCAGAACGCACTTCTCAGCCTACTATTCAAGGCCCGATTTGCCTAATAAGCCAAGTTTTCATGAATTAATGTTTTTTCGTCTACCTAACCTACCTAACCTAACCTAACCTAGCTTTTTTTGGCTACCTAACCTAACCTTACCTATAAATATAGGTTAGGTTAGGTTAGGTAGGGTTGGTTAGGTTCGGTCATATATCTACGTTAATTTTAACTCCAATAAAAAAAAATTGACCTCATACATAGAGAAAAGGGTTGCTTTATCATTTCATAAGAAAAAAATTATAGTAAATATATTAATTCAGGAAAACTTGGCTTATTAGGCAAATCGGGCCTTGAATAGTAGGCTGAGAAGTGAGTTCTGGCTACTAGGTACGACATATATATATATATATATATATATATATATATATATATATATATATATATATGTCGTACCTAATAGCCAGAACGCACTTCTCAGCCTACTATTCAAGGCCCGATTTGCCTGATAAGCCAAGTTTTCATGAATTAATGTTTTTTCGTCTACCTAACCTACCTAACCTAACCTAACCTAGCTTTTTTTGGCTACCTAACCTAACCTTAACTATAAATATAGGTTAGGTTAGGTTAGGTAGGGTTGGTTAGGTTCGGTCATATATCTACGTTAATTTTAACTCCAATAAAAAAAAATTTACCTCATACATAGAGAAAAGGGTTGCTTTATCATTTCATAAGTTAAAAATTATAGTAAATATATTAATTCAGGAAAACTTGGCTTATTAGGCAAATCGGGCCTTGAATAGTAGGCTGAGAAGTGAGTTCTGGCTACTAGGTACGACATATATATATATATATATATATATATATATATGTCGTACCTAGTAGCCAGAACTCACTTTTTGGCCTACTATTCAAGGCCCGATTTGCCTAATAAGCCAAGTTTTCCTGAATTAATATATTTTTTCTAATTTTTTTCTTATGAAATGATAAAGCTACCCATTTCATTATGTATGAGGTCAATTTTTTTTATTGGAGTTAAAATTAACGTAGATATATGACCGAACCTAACCAACCCTACCTAACCTAACCTAACCTATCTCTATAGGTTAGGTTTGGTTAGGTAGCCGAAAAAGTTAGGTTAGGTTAGGTTAGGTAGGTTAGGTAGTCGAAAAACAATTAATTCATGAAAACTTGGCTTATTAGGCAAATCGGGCCTTGAATAGTAGGCCAAAAAGTGAGTTCTGGCTACTAGGTACGACATATATATATATATATATATATATATATATATATATATATATATATATATATATATATATATATATATATATATATATATGTCGTACCTAGTAGCCAGAACGCACTTCTCGGCCTACTATGCAAGGCCCGATTTGCTTAATAAGCCAAGTTTTCATGAATTAATATATATTCTCTAATTTTTTCTTATGAAATGATAAAGCTACCCATTTCATTACGTATGAGGTCAATTTTTTTTTATTGGAGTTAAAATTAACGTAGATATATGACCGAACCTAACCAACCCTACCTCACCTAACCTAACCTATCTTTATAGGTTAGGTTAGGTTAGGTAGCCGAAAAAGTTAGGTTAGGTTAGGTTAGGTAGGTTAGGTAGTCGAAAAACAATTAATTCATGAAAACTTGGCTTATTAGGCAAATTGGGCCTTGCATAGTAGGCATAGAAGTGCGTTCTGGCTACTAGGTACGACATATATATATATATATATATATATATATATATATATATATATATATATATATATATATATATGTCGTACCTAGTAGCCAGAACGCACTTTTATGCCTACTATGCAAGGCCTGATTTGCCTAATAAGCCAAGTTTTCCTGAATTAATATATTTTCTCTATTTTTTTTCTTATGAAATGATAAAGCTACCCATTTCATTATGTATGAGGTCAATTTTTTTTATTGGAGTTAAAATTAACGTAGATATATGACCAAACCTAACTAACCCTACCTAACCTAACCTAACCTATCTTTAGAGGTTAGGTTAGGTGAGGTAGCCGAAAAAGTTAGGTTAGGTTAGGTTAGGTAGGTTAGGTTGTCGAAAAACAATTAATTCAGGAAAACTTGGCTTATTAGGCAAATCGGGCCTTGCATAGTAAGCATAAAAGTGCGTTCTGGCTACTAGGTACGACATATATATATATATATATATATATATATATATAATGCTAAACACATGTTTTGATGGCAGAATTGCAGTCTGGTGGCTTCCCAACACTTAAATGGCACCTGTTGCCCTGGTCGACCCGGGCACCGCCGGACCCCATGTAGTACATAATATGTACAACAGTCATTTGTTGCACACAAAATGAACTCGTTAACAATAATGGTAAACGTCAAGCCGCTAACGAAAAATAATTGTTGGGCCTTAACTCCATGTTGACAAATGATGCTCCGGCCCCGTAGTCATCCATATTGACCCGTCCCAGGACCCAGGACCCGTCCCAGCGCCCATGACCCGTCCCAGCGTCCACGACCCTTTATCCCAGGACCCATCCCATGGTTGTCTACTATAGTGCATAACAAGTACAACTAATAACTTTCCTCTCCGTGAATAAGTACAATATATATATATATACTGTATATATATATATATATATATATATATATATATATATATATATATATATATATATACATATATATATATATATATATATATATATATATATATATATATACATATATATATATATACATTATATATATATATATATATATATATATATATATATATATACATATATATATATATATATATATATATATATATATATATATATATATATATATATATATATATATATATATTGTACTTATATATAACATATATGACCTTCGTTGCTTAGATTTTGTTAGTAATGTTTGTGTTTACCTAGGTATAGATTAGGTTATTTGACTAACTAGGTTGTTTGACTAGGATCTTAACTCACTTAGACCTAGGTGGTTAGGTTGTCAGGTGGTCTCAGGTGTAGAGTACCAGGCTGATAGTTTAACAGGACTCAAAGTCATAATTTGAATCATATACAGGACGAGAGGAGTTAACTCTACAGGAGAGTGGATAGGTTTGTTTTGTACCTACATGGAGGGGGGAGGGGGAGGTGGCTAGAAGGCTTGGCTGCGTGAATATACACTTGTGCACCAGTTCTGCGGCTAGATTGGGCTAGGCTAGGATATTAAGTTAGGTTAGGTTAGGCTCGGTTAGGTTTATTTATTATAACAATGACGTATGGAGATACACACTTTTCCAGGATCTTAGATGGTATTGTCTTCGGAACACTGAAAAAATACCAATTTTGAGTTCTCTGCTACTCAGCACAGTACCAAAATCATGCCCGCCAGTCCTACCATCATGCCCGCTAGTCCTATCATCATGCCCGCTAGTCCTACCATCATGCCCGCTAGTCCTACCATCATGCCCGCTAGTCCTACCATCATGCCCGCTAGTCCTACCATCATGCCCGCTAGTCCTACCATCATGCCCGCTAGTCCTACCATCATGCCCGCTAGTCCTACCATCATGCCCGCTAGTCCTATCATCATGCCCGCTAGTCCTATCATCATGCCCGCTAGTCCTATCATCATGCCCGCTAGTCCTACCATCATGCCCGCTAGTCCTACCATCATGCCCGCTAGTCCTACCATCATGCCCGCTAGTCCTACCATCATGCCCGCTAGTCCTACCATCATGCCCGCTAGTCTTACCATCATGCCCGCTAGTCCTACCATCATGCCCGCTAGTCCTACCATCATGCCTACGTGCCCCCACCATTATGCCCTGCATGTTAGAGCATTATTCGGGCCTGGTGCAACACCATGGTCATCATTACCGTGACCCGCGGGGACTAATGCCTCCATATTGCACTGTCAACACAACACAACTACCCAGGCAGAGCCCATCACTGCTCTCCCTCGCTCTCCCTCACTACCTCTCTCACTCTCTCTTCCTCTCTCCCCCAATCTCCTCCTCTCACCTCTCTTCCCTCTGCCACCCTCTCCACCAACATCCTCCTCTCCCATCCTTCCCTCTCACAGAAAATTTAATATTACGGAAGAACTGCTAACAAAACAACTACAGAAAACATGTCCCTGATTTCAGACATCATGAAAATATCAGGGGGTCACTGAAGGAATATATTTTTCTTAAAGGCTGGCATTGGGACCAACCCCAGCTGGCCCATGGCACTTCCATACCCTCCATGTGGCATCTTGAATAGTTGGGTGAGGCTGCCTCAAAGAGCCGGACTTACTTTAGATAGAAAAACAGACGTTGTTTTTACATGTTGAACCTAATAGGCAGAACGCACTACTTGGCCTACTGTGTAAGGCCCGGTTTGCCTAATAAGCCGAGTTTTCCTAAAATTTTATGTTTTTATACACAATTTTCTTATGAAATTATAAAGCTTTTCATTAATTATATACGTTTAAATTTATATTTAATTTGAGTTAAAACGTAGAAATACGACCAAACTTACCTAACCTGACCTATCATAACCTAACCAACACTAAGATAACTTTGCAAGTAATTCGTGTTCTTAATATAATATAATATTAATTCAAATAAACCAATTGGATTTTTTGGTTAAGTAAAAAATTTACTCTGCCTATTAGGCAAATCGGGTTTTGCATACTAGGCCAAATAATGCATTCTGGTTATTAGGTACATATGTTTATGTATATATATATATATATATATATATATATATATATATATATATATATATATATATATATATATATATATATTGTGACGGTAACGCGTTGGTGTTCGGCTGTTTAAGGCTAGGGGTATGGCCTCGTCACATAGTTATAAATAAAAAGAAAAAAACTGGAACTTCGTCTGTGGTAAGGTAAGGAGAAGACACACAAAACACAAGTAAATTTTAACAATGAAATTTTAATTACGTTAATTAATCAAAACATGAATAAAATGCACAAACAAATTCTTATAATAAAATCAATCAATCAAAATAATAAGAATACTTAAATGACACAATGAAAAGTTACGTTAAGGCAAAATAACAAGAAATGCAACACAAAATTAAATGGGAGGTGCTGGAATATTGGCTTTAAGCTATCACCTCTCTCAGTACACGCTAACGTCTAGCTGGGAGGAGTGATAACCACGAAAGCACTGAACATTCTGAGGTCTGAGGTCGTGGCGACCCCAGACATCAAGTAGTATGGGGGGGCGAGTGCAGGTGCAGCCAGACCGGCGACCAATCAGCGGGGCCGGTAGCGATCAACGAGTAGTTGGTGGTTTGAGTCTGAACAGGTGTCTCTGGCTGCAACGTTTTGCGCTCTGGCAAGCCTTGCTGGTGTTGTTGTCGTTGTTGGACATTTCTTCCATAGTAGTTTTATATAACCACAACGACGTAATTGTGGAGGGAAGAGCAGGCTCAATCTCTTGAAGGAGATTATCGTCACAATATATATATATATATATATATATATATATATATATATATATATATATATATATATATATATATATATATATATATATATGACAATGTCAGACCACGGAGGAAAAATGAAACATGAATTTCCTTAAGTACTTTCGTATATTAATACATCTTCAGAAGGAGTGAAGAAGGAGTGACTCCTTCTGAAGATGTATTAATATACGAAAGTACTTAAGGAAATTCCTGTTTCATTTTTCCTCCGTGGTCTGACATTGTCACATTTTTAATCACGTGTTTACTTTCGTGATATACACACACACACACACACACATATATATATATATATATATATATATATATATATATATATATATATATATAACTTTAGAACACTTTCCCACCAGGAGACTCGAACCCTAGCCAGCACAGAAGCCTTCAAGCAACTGGCATAACAGGTACGCCTTAACCCTCTCCACCACCTTAACCCTCTTTCGTACCTGTTATGCCAGTTGCTTGAAGGCTTCTGTGCTGGCTAGGGTTCGAGTCTCCTGGTGGGAAAGTGTTCTAAAGTTGTATACTTAACTCTCGTGTTTAGGAGAGTTGTGCCATATATATATATATATATATATATATATATATATATATATATATATATATATATATATATATATATATATATATATATATATATATATATATATACACACAATAGTGGGCTTTATTAATTAGAGTGAGGTGAGTGAGAGGCAGCATCATAGTTAAGGAGATAAGAGTATGCGGTCACCACCTGGTCCCCCGCTCACTACATAATAACCTGGTCACAACAACAACTTTATTGGATCTCAGACACTTGCCTGACGCTTGTACCAAGAGTCACTCCTGTTATTGGACTCGTCCGACAAGAGTCGCCGTGTTTGTGGAGGCGGTGAACAAGAGAGAGAGAGAAAGAGAATAAGAGAACTTGACTGCTATTCTTCTCTTGCTCTTAACTCCACCTGAATGTTAGTGTTTGTAAACACTCTAGAGAGTCAGTGTTTGTTGTCAAACTTCTTTGGATTGTTGCAATTGTTTTCTGGCGGGAGGCGCTGTGACAGCTCTGGTCCAGGTAGAGGGCGCTGTGACGCCTCTCGTCCAGGTAGAGGGCACTGTGACGGTACTGGTCCAGGTAGAGGGTACTGTGACGGCTCTGGTCCAGGTAGAGGGCACTGTGACGGTACTGGTCCAGGTAGAGGGTACTGTGACGGCTCTGGTCCAGGTAGAGGGCACTGTGACGGTACTGGTCCAGGGAGAGGGCACTGTGACGGTACTGGTCCAGGTAGAGGGCACTGTGACGGCGCTGATCCAGGTAGAGGGCACTGTGACGGTGCTGGTCCTGGTAGAGGGCACTGTGACGGCTCTGGTTCAGGTAGAGGGCACTGTGACGGCTCTGGTCCAAGTAGAGGGCACTGTGACGGTGCTGGTCCAGGTAGAGGGCACTGTGACGGTACTGGTCCAGGTAGAGGGCACTGTGACGGCGCTGGTCCATGTAGAGGGCACTGTGACGGCGCTGGTCCAGGTATAGGGCGCTGTGACGGCGCTGGTCCAGGTAGAGGGCACTGTGACGGCGCTGGTCCAGGTAGAGGGCGCTGTGACGGCGCTGGTCCAGGTAGAGGGCACTGTGACGGTGCTGGTCCAGGTAGAGGGCACTGTGACGGCGCTGGTCCAGGTAGAGGGCACTGTGACGGCGCTGGTCCAAGTAGAGGGCGCTGTGACGGCGCTGGTCCAGGTAGAGGGCACTGTGACGGTGCTGGTCCAGGTAGAGGGCGCTGAGACGGCGCTGGTCCAAGTAGAGGGCGCTGTGACGGTGCTGGTCCAGATAGAGGGCACTGTGACGGTGCTGGTCCAAGTAGAGGGCGCTGTGACGGCGCTGGTCCAAGTAGAGGGCGCTGTGACGGCGCTGGTCCAGGTAGAGGGCACTGTGACGGTGCTGGTCCAAGTAGAGGGCGCTGTGACGGCGCTGATCCAGGTAGAGGGCACTGTGACGGTGCTGGTCCAGGTAGAGGGCACTGTGACGGTGCTGTTCCAAGTAGAGGGCACTGTGACGGCGCTGGTCCAGGTAGAGGGCACTGTGACGGCGCTGGTCCAGGTAGAGGGCGCTGTGACGGCGCTGATCCAGGTAGAGGGCACTGTGACGGTGCTGGTCCAGGTAGAGGGCACTCTGACGGTGCTGGTCCAGGTAGAGGGCACTGTGACGGTGCTGGTCCAAGTAGAGGGCGCTGTGACGGCCCTGGTCCAGGTAGAGGGCGCTGTGACGGCCCTGGTCCAAGTAGAGGGCACTGTGACGGCACTGGTCCAAGTAGAGGGCGCTGTGACGGCCCTGGTCCAAGTAGAGGGCACTGTGACGGCACTGGTCCAGGTAGAGGGCACTGTGACGGTGCTGGTCTAGGTAGAGGGCACTGTGACGGTGCTGGTCCAGGTAGAGGGCACTGTGACGGTGCTGGTCCAGGTAGAGGGCACTGTGACGGTGCTGGTCCAGGTAGAGGGCACTGTGACGGTGCTGGTCCAAGTAGAGGGCGCTGTGACGGCCCTGGTCCAGGTAGAGGGCGCTGTGACGGCCCTGGTCCAAGTAGAGGGCACTGTGACGGCACTGGTCCAGGTAGAGGGCACTGTGACGATGCTGGTCCAGGTAGAGGGCACTGTGACGGTGCTGGTCCAGGTAGAGGGCGCTGTGACGGCCCTGGTCCAGGTAGAGGACGCTGTGACGGCCCTGGTCCAGGTAGAGGGCACTGTGACGGCCCTGGTCCAAGTAGAGGGCACTGTGACGGCACTGGTCCAGGTAGAGGGCGCTGTGACGGCTCTGGTCCAGGTAGAGGGTACTGTGACGGCTCTGGTCCAAGTAGAGGGCACTGTGACGGTACTGGTCCAGGTAGAGGGCACTGTGACGGCGCGTGTCCAGGTAGAGGGCACTGTGACGGTGCTGGTCCTGGTAGAGGGCACTGTGACGGCTCTGGTTCAGGTAGAGGGCACTGTGACGGCACTGGTCCAGGTAGAGGACACTGTGACGGTGCTGGTCCAGGTAGAGGGCACTGTGACGGTGCTGGTCCAGGTAGAGGGCACTGTGATGGCACTGGTCCAGGTAGAGGGCACTGTGACGGTGCTGGTCCAGGTAGAGGGCACTGTGACGGTGCTGGTCCAGGTAGAGGGCACTGTGACGGTGCTGGTCCAGGTAGAGGGCACTGTGACGGTGCTGGTCCAGGTAGAGGGCACTGTGACGGCGCTGGTCCAGGTAGAGGGCGCTGTGACGGCCCTGGTCCAGGTAGAGGGCACTGTGACGGTGCTGGTCCAGGTAGAGGGCACTGTGACGGCCCTGGTCCAGGTAGAGGGCGCTGTGACGGCCCTGGTCCACGTAGAGGGCACTGTGACGGCCCTGGTCCAAGTAGAGGGCACTGTGACGGCACTGGTCCAGGTAGAGGGCACTGTGACGGCACTGGTCCAGGTAGAGGGCACTGTGACGGTGCTGGTCCAGGTAGAGGGCGCTGGTCCAGGTAGAGGGCACTGTGACGGCGCTGGTCCAGGTAGAGGGCGCTGTGACGGCCCTGGTCCAGGTAGAGGGCACTGTGACGGCGCTGGTCCAGGTAGAGGGCACTGTGACGGTGCTGGTCCAGGTAGAGGGCACTGTGACGCGCTGGTCCAGGTAGAGGGCACTGTGACGGTGCTGGTCCAGGTAGAGGGCACTGTGACGCGCTGGTCCAGGTAGAGGGCACTGTGACGGTGTTAATGTGACGTAGCAGGGGGGGGGAAGGCAACTGGGGACAAAGCAGCTCAATGTCCATGAATTATATATGCGACTGTGGCCAGTGTCCTCACAGCGGCCGTCCCTGGAGGCTGCGACGCCTGGGCAGTCACGGTGGTGGTGCTGGTGTTGTGGTTGATGTTGTGGTGCTGGTGGTTGTGGTTGATGTTGTGGTGGTGGTGGTGGTTTTGGTTTGGTTGTTGTTGTTATGCTGTCAGTAGTGTTGTTGGTGATGCTGTGACGCATTGACACTGTCACGCTGACTACACCTGTCAGTACACCTGGCACACTGACATTATACCTGACACTTTCACTATTATCTGACACGACGAGAAGATCGCACCACTCCACAAAGGAGGTAGAAAAGCAGACGCAAAACCAACAGCACTACCATCACATATCAACAAAACCTTTGAAAGAGTGCAAGGAAGTAAGATCACAAAACAAATGGAGTTACAATATCTATATATAAACCCGGGCAACAGGAGCTCAGAACTGGGCGCTCCTGCCTCTCACAATTGCTAGATCACTATGACATGGCCTTAGATGCCATTGAAGACAAACAAAACGCCTATGTAATATACACAGACTTTGCAAATCTTTCAGCAGATGTGATCGCGGTGTTATTGCATACAAAATGCGTATAAAAGGAGTTATTGGCAAAGTAGACAGATGGATATTTATTTTCCTAACGAATAGAACCCAATGTGTAATAGTCAACAAAGCAAAATCCAGATCATCAATCATGAAAAATGCTCAGTCCCTTCAGGGCACTCTGCTTGCTCTAGTACTTTTCCTCATCCTCATATCAGACATAGACAAGGACACAAATTATAGTACTGTTTCATCCTATACTAGGATTTTCATGAGAGTACAAAGGACACCGCAATCCTCCAGGCTGATGTTAATCAGATGTTTTAATGGGCCACTGAAAACAGCACGATGTTTAATGAAGACAATGCCAGCTACTTAGCTATGGAAAAAAACGAACAAAAAATCGAAACGGAAATCACATGTAAAATGCACTCAAACAACACTACTGAGAGGAAAAAACAATTTAAAAGATTTGAGATTCTTCATGTCAGAACTTTTAAAGAACCCAATGAAGCAGCTGTCACACCTGCAAGAAAAATGACAGGTTAGATAATAAGAACCTTTCAAACAAGAGATGCCATACCAAAGATGATATTTTAAGACACTAGTGCTCTCTAGGATTGTATACGAAGAATTTTGCTACCCTGAAGAGCGCAAAGAGATTTCACTACCCGAATCCACTCGATAAAACATAAAAGATATTGGGACAGCTTAAAAATGTTAAATCTCTTCCCTAGAGCACAGGCGAAAGAAATACTAAATAATTTACCGCTGGAAATTTTAGAGGTACTGGTTCCAAATTTGTGCACTGAAATAACTCGTCATGAAACCAGAAGCCTTGGCAGGAAGTGCAAAATAACCCCGTTGAAAAGTCGAGGTTCGTCGAGAGAACTCTATCAACATCAAAAACTTTTCAACACTCCCTCTTCACATAAAGGTCATGAACAGCCGACCTCTTACGGTGTTCAAGAGAGAATTTGATTAACACCTCTAAATGTCTGGTCAACACCTCTAAATGTCTGGTCAACACCTCTAAATGATATTTGATGAATCGAGCTGTGCTTCATACGTCAGGCTACGAGCAGCTGCGTCGAACAGCCTGATTGACCAGACCACCAACCAGGAGGCCTGGTCAGAAATCTGGCGCAGGGACATTGATCCCCGGAACCAACCAACAACTGGAGATATATCATGCTGTGTCGTAGCTGAGTGTGTCGTAGCTGAGTGTGGCGTACGCTGAGTTTGTCGTAGCTGAGTGTGTCGTACGCTGAGGGCCTCCACCACATCACTGCCTAAAATTGTACAATATTAGCAACTGTGTTACCTGACGGTGATGGCAAGAGTGCCACCAGCACCAGCACGGCACCCTAACCGTGGCCGCCAGACCAAACATGCATCCCCAGCGGGATTCGAACCCGCGGCCTCTGGATTAGAAGTCCAGCGCGCTATCCACTGCGCCATGGGGACATTGGTGTCGTACGCTGAGTGGTGCCGTACTAAGGAACAAGGGTTGAGCTTCATCACAACATAGCAGATAGGAGGCTACAAATGGTCGCAGCCTCGTCCCTTCAATCCACGAGTCAGAGAAATAAATAAAATATATTAACTTTCGCTATTTGGATAACGAATTACCAAATAACCAATTATAGTATAAGATTGTGTGAAATTATCATGAATACCTTAATAGAAACACGAGGCGACTATAGTCAAATTGGCTGTTTTAAGACTTGAATTTCACCATCAAAATTTGGCACGGGTGTCGACCAACATTTGTTCCCATGACTATAACTCAATACAGTATAAAGTTTCCAATTGTTTCTGTTCATTTAGTGTGATTGCTCTATACGTGACATACATTCTCCGCCCTCAAAACAAAACAAAATAGTAACCGTCATATTATGGATATAATTTGCGGGATGAAATTAAAGTAATGGCGGGGTAATAATAACAATTACCACTTTGTTTAAATTAATGTTTAACATGTAGGAAAATGAAGATACTTTTTTATAATTCCAAAACAGGCATTAGAATTACACACAGAAATCACAATCAAAACAACATGACAAAAAGCTTTACAAGATTGGCTTTTACAAGATTGTAATTAGTATATTATGTATCCTCACAATCCCAATTTACCTTCTTGTATATATATAAATAAATAAAATAAAAATAAACAATTGCGTGATACATCAAATTTTGACCATGTCGTAGCTCAGTCGATTAAGGCAGCGTCTGGGATGCTCTCGGACGCAGGTTCGAATCCTCGTCACGGCCCTTGTGGATTTGTTTAACAGGCACTACAAACCGTTGGTGGGAAACACCGTAAACTTAACATAATATCACCGTATCTTAGTGTAAGAATGTTTGGCTAACTTGCCTCAGAAGTATTTGTATCTTCATCCAGAACATGTAATTTGTATGTTTTGAATTTCCACTTCAAACTTCACAACTTTATTGTCTTATAGGTATAAACTGCATATTTTTATATACATTATCCTCCATAAAAGTGATAAACATTACGTATATAATATAGTTTTCCCGAAAATAACTGCAAGTTTGTCAGTGAACTGCAGTTGTAAACCAAATTTATTTTGTTTTACAATTCATTAAAATTTGTATTACAAAGATTTATATTAAATAACGAGAGATGCCGCAAGTGTTCCCACCAGTAACGAGAAGTCCATCACACAGTGATCTCGCTAGTAACGAGGAGGTAAGGGGCCAGATTCACGAAGCAGTTACGCAAGCACTTACGAACCTGTACATCTTTTCTCAATTTTGGCGGCTTTGTTTACAATTATTAAACAGTTAATGAGCTCCGAAGCACCAGGAGACTGTTTAAAACAATAACAACAGTTGATTGGGAAGTTTTCATGCTTGTAAACTGTTTAATAAATGTAACCAAAGCCGTCAGAGATTGAGGAAAGATGTACACGTTCGTAAGTACTTGCGTAACTGCTTCGTGAATCTGACCCCAGGTCGTGACCCATAATAAACCTGAAGCCATACCGTCCAGGGCTCTCTGAACATTTCTTCAACATTTTCTTTACTGAAGAAAATGGCTGTAGGAGGGGTAACTATTATCATGTAAATTAGTCTCAAGCGGCCAATAATGTCAAAGAAATTCGTGGCTTTCAGCTGTGCCTAATTCCTTGATGTGGGAAGAAATTTGTTATTTATATGTTGACGGTAATGTGTATTTTTTATATATATTTTTTATTATTATTGGGATGTTTACCCTAATATTAAAGATATCAATTTTTATAACAATGAAAGTGTGATAAATTATATTTACAATTATGAAGCTATTAGGCTACATTTGTGATAATTGCAATAGTTTATTTAATTACAGGTAAAGTAATAATTATTAAAACAATTCCCTGTCATAATAGGACAGTGGGTTGTTATTCCTCATACTCATCTGTTAGACTTTAATTTTCGGTATTACTCACGGAGCCTAGTGTATCTCCTACCTGGAGTATCTGCTACCTGGTGTATCTGCTACCTGGAGTATCTGCTACCTGGTGTACCTGCTACCTGGTATACTTTTTTTACGTTACATAAAACACAACTTCGTTTCCATCTGAAATGGGTTAACAGATAACGTTTCGCGATAAAGCTCATATGTCGCTCTTTGTTACAAAACTATATAATAGTAACTTCCTGTGGTGCTTGATAAGTGTTAATCGTGCAGCTGCTTCTCGTCTATCTCTATATCGTGATGGCTTGTTGACATGCCGTCGTCATGTTTATATCACGTCTCCCATTTAGGTGTCGTCAACTAACTCTTAAGATTTTGAAGTCACCCCTCAACTAATCATCAGCAAAAATACGTTTTTACTAGGTCTGTTTTCTTTAATTTTGCTCGTTTTCGAATTTGATATATCACGACGAATTTAATTTCTTCAGAATTTTTTTATGTTAACCTACATTTATAATTTTCATGTTTTAATTTGAACTGATGTACACAACTATCCAGACTCAACACGATCAATACCCTCCTTCCTTAGACTCACAAATAAATACTATACAAGAACATAAGAATTAAAGAAACTGCTGAAGGCCTACTGTCCCATACGAGACAGCCCTTATATATGTCTAACCTACGCTTGAAACAATCAAGTGATCCCACTTTCTTTATTGTTTTCCGGTAGATCACCGGAAAATCTATTTTCCATAGTTCCATAGTTCACTTACCCTATTTCCAAAAAGTATTTTCTCAGGCCGCTGCGGAATTTCAACTTATATATATACGAGGACATTTGGGGACCTGAATATAGTCCTTGAAAATAAATATGGAAGGTTCTTTCGTCATAATTCACAACTTTAGATGGACTCATCAACAACTGTCCAGTCAGTGGACAAAACATGATTGAAGGACATTGAATCGGCGTCGTTTGCGCAACATTCTCACTGCCTAGTAGGCAAAATATCCAAGATGAACGCCAATTCAACGTCGAACCAACGCCATTCATATAACGTTAAATCAACGTATATAATGTTGATTTAACATTAATACCGGCGAGAACAATGAAACCCTCTGCGGTGCTCATAGTGACGAGTAATGATAGTGTATTGTGTCCTCAGAATGTGTTTAGTAATGCCAATAGTTTTGTATGTGTTGGTAATGGTCCATGACGAACCGGAGCGTCATTATCCCCCGTTTTTTATGGTAAGGTTTTGTGGGGTGGCTACTGTTACAATGTTTGCTTAAAACTTCCTGTGTTCAGTATTAAGTTTTGTTTAAGAATAATATCGTTAGTCTTATTATTGTTGTTAGTCATTTGGTAATTATCTTATTATTGTCGTTTGTCATTTGGTAATTATCTTATTATTGTTGCTTGTCATTTGGTAATTATCTTTTCATTGTCACATTGTCATTATTTTGTACCAACTGGTAATGTAATGTTAAATAACTTCACTTGTATAATTAATAATATTGCCATTTGCCTATTGCTGAATTACCAACCACCGGGCTCCAGCTATTGGACCCGAGCTAATAACCGCAGGGTTGCAGCATCTTGAGTTGAGGCAGTAGCCACCGGATTCCCGTTCCTGGCCCCGGGCCAATATCCACCGGGTAATCAGTCATGTCAACATAAGTGTACTAACTAGTTTTGTTAACTGCAATTAGTTTTTTATATATCAACTGTTATTCATTTTATGTTGTGTAACATTCTCTTGATTTTGTCGAGTCTAAGCAAATTCTTTTATCGTAATACAATGGAATTGTCCATTAAACTAGGGCACGCAATCACCCATTGCAAAAGCTTCTTAATGTATTATGTAGTTTGACATTATGCGCATACGTTTATAAAGATGTATATATGAACTAGGGTTCTCTGCGGTGCCCGAGTCTGTGTCTCTCTGCGCCCTCTTTATCCCTTCCTTCCTTCCTCTTCCTCCATTTTACCTTCCTCTCCCCTCCTCTTCCTCTTCTCTTCTTCCCCCCCCCCCCGCACCCTCTCTCATTCCTCTCTCGCCCCGTCCCCCTCTTCTTCCTCTCTTCCCTCCTCCGTCCGCCCCTCTCCCTCCTCTTTCCCCATTTCACCTTGTCCCCTTTCTCCCCTTATCTATCCTCATATCCCTTCATCTTAAACCTTCACTGCATGTACTATATTTATCACCATAACCATTAACACTACTCACTATCTTCATCATTGTATTCCAATTGAATTCATCACACTATGAAAAACACATCCGCGATTTCATTTCAGATCATATGGAAATTGTCCTGGAGGTGGTTAGGTTAAAGGCCTATATTTTAAAGTGGGGCACTGGAACCGACCCCGACCCGCCTGTGTCCGTCCCGTACCCCATGCCATCCCTCCTGCAAAGTTGTATGAGGCTAGCCGCAAGTTTCTTGCTTCCAACCTTGGACAGACAGACAGCCAGCCATTCTCTCTTATAGATATAGATAGCCGATTCTATATACAATACACAATGGCCTGAGCAAATCCGACCCAACCTGCGTTGCACGACAGTTGATAACATCCAATTCATTGTAACTCCATATCTATTTATCTACGTTCGTTGTCCGCCTCTTTGGTATTTGCAATTAAGTTAAGCTTAAGTGATCCAGATATGACTATCTGGACAGCTCCTGCTTGTGGAATTTAATATAGAAAATCAATACCATGGCATGTATCAACTTTAATAACATGTAATATACATATATTAAATTATAGTTTTCAGATTTATGTTCAGGCAAACAATTATTTTTGGTTTGCGATGTATTAGAAATTACAAAGTTTAGCGGAAACTAACAATATTATATACTCTGTTCAAGAGTGAGGTCCATCTGAATGTTCCTAAGAATGCATATTTTTATGATAAAAGAAATGATTAACAAACTGCAGAACCTTTGTTACAAAAAGAAAATTAACAATTAACTGGGTATCTAACCATTTAGGAATCTGAGAATAAATGACACATTAACCAGAGAGGGAACACATAAAGAG